AATCACCTGAGAGTTCATACAAAGGAGAAACCACATTCATGTTATTTGTGTGGAAAGAGTTTTTCATGTTTACAATATTTAAAAGACCATCAGAAAATACACACTGGTGTGAGAGATTACATGTGCTTTGAGTGTGAAAATACTTTTACTTCAGCGCAGTGTTTAAAACTGCATGAGATGATTCACACTGGAGAGAAACCTTACAAGTGTTCACACTGTGACAAGATCAATCAATCATCAAATCTGAAAACACATGAGAGGATTCACACTGGAGAGAAACCGTATCACTGCACTGCATGTGGGAAGTGTTTCAATCAATTATCTGCTCTACACACACATACAAAAAACATTCACAGTAAGTAGATCATCTTTAGATCTGATGCTGCGTCTTCACCAAATGTGACACGATAATGAATCAAGCAATAAAATATCGTCTACGTTCTGGTTATAACCTAACCAGATATTACAAGTGACATGACAAATAAACATTATCTAAAGTTTTCACAGTGAATAAAGTTCATCTTCAAAACCAGCAGATTCAACTGTGAGATTCAGATCAACTCAAAGATGGAGTTCCTCTCTAAAGAACAATGTCACAAAGCTATATTCTTGTATATAATTTTGTTTCATTATATAAATGATATCCTTGTGCGTTTTTATGAGTTTCATATTATGTTCAATTGTCGTATAATGCATATGTGTCACTTGTAGTTTGTTTACTCTTTCATGAAGGAAAGAAGCTTTTTACACACTGTTCTTGTTCAGGAAGATGAAGAAGAGGCTGTAACACTTTTAAGAGAGAGATTTATTTTTAACTTGTTCTTTGTTGTTTTTAAAATAAATCCTCCACTTATGATGAATTTTAGAAAATACAGATGCAAGATATACTGTCATGTGGATTTGTAACTGATTCTCCTGTTCTTCTTCTGTAAGTACACTGTAAAACAAATCCTAATTTTACGGAAAATAACTTTTTTTTACAGTATTTTTAAATTGTATAAAGCTATGTAAAATTACTAACAATATCTGTAAATGAACAACTTAACCATTATTTTAAGGATTATTTAATTAATGACAAATTACAGTATTTCAAATTTTTGAATAAGGGAAAATTACCTTATGTATACAGTATTTTTTCTGTTTTCTTAAATTACATACAAATTCATGTAAAATTACAAACAATATCGGTAAATTACCAACTTGACTTATTTTCAGTATTATTCCATTAATGACAAATTACAGTAATTATAATTTTTTACACAAAAATTACTGTATTATTTAAACAGTATTTTTTCTGTTTTGTTAAATTATGTACAAATTTTTCGTAAAATTACAAAAATACTCTGTAATTAAATAACGTAGTTCATTATATTAAAGGTTTATGTCCATACTAGCAATTTAATGTTCTTTTTTGTAATTTTAAAGTAAATCTAGTTTTATATTTAGCTGTATTTTTACATTCAAACTCTGTAATTTTATATAGAATAGAAATAGTATATATATAGAATAGAAAATCAGCCTTAAAATCCACAAATCATGTAACGTGAAATTAAAAAAGTATTGCATTAAAAATGTTTTACTTTTATAAAGAAAAAAATCAACCAATAAAGAGTGAGTGTATAAAGTAGGCATACCAATGGGGCATGTTAATATTAATAATAAAAAGTATATTAATTATGTCATTCATTAAAGAATTTTATAATTGTTTTACATACCATTGTTCTAGGTTTGTGCCAGTTCTGCTCCATTCAGTGCAGCTCTGTACAGGAGGAACTGTACTGATTCTCAGTTCTGAATAGTGTACAGTGCTGCAACAGTATGGATGGGAGTAACATGTGAAGATAATTGCATTGGGTTACATATTGAATTTATTTCAGATACAGTTTGAATTACTTTCAGTTGCATTTTAAATTGTTACATTGTAAATTAAACTATATTTAAAATAAATTATGAAGAATTAAGTCTATATAATGTTACAAACATGCCAATACACTGTAAAGAGTTAAGCAATATTTCAAAGGATGTCCCTACTCTTAACCGTTCCTGATCCTAATTGCTTCTGATCTTAATTGCTTTTTTACTGAACAGCTTCATCATATTTGTGTTAGAGATCCCTGGAAAACTGATATATTAATTGTAAACAATCAATTCGAGCTTCAGGTTACAGATAATAAAAATTGAAAATATAACAATTAACTGCCAGAAACGGTCAGACTTAAGGTTTATTACGATACATGGCAATCTAAAAATGGGAACAGTATTTAAAATACTTTATATCAAGTTAAGACGTTCCTATCACAGCCACAGATGCAAACAAACGTAGATTACCGGGAGCTCTGATGTTATTGCTACTATCTCTTAGGAGTTATAAAAACCTGAGGTGGACGGAGTTTAAAGCTAAACTCTAACTTAGCCCTGCTATTTAAGTGCTGATCAAATCGCCACAGAAGTCATGCAGCGTTATCCAGCCTTATTAGCAAGATTTGCTAGAAGACGATAGAACAATACTCTCCCCAAAAGTTGTTGATGTAACTTGAAACGTTGAATGCCCTTCTCCGTGTGATTACATTCATTTACAGTAATCCGGGGAAGTTCTTGTAAGCTGAAAAATCATCTTCTCCTCTTGTCATTTTGAAAGCTCTACGTAAGGAACAATGGCTTTCGGCACAGCACCGGATTTAAGTAAGCCCACTGAGGAAAAATGCAGAAGTGACCGTGCATAGAGTCCATTGTGCGCAAGAGAAGAGCTAAACTGTCCAAATCGAAAATAATATTGATTTATTTTCTGCTCGATTCATGAATTGATACATTAAAATTACCAGGATATCAAAACATTCAGTAAAAACACGTTGTTCATTTACAAATTGATTACACATATTAAGATCAATTGCTTACATTGAGAATTTCTTGTGGCGTCTCGAGGAAATATCGGTGTTTAACTGTCAACACTGCCCCCTAGTGGTCGGGAGCATTTCCGTTGTGTTGTGGCTTAATGTTGTTGTGTTGTGAGCTTATGTTTGCTTTTTTAATGTCGTTGTGTTGTGAGCTTATGTTTGCTTTTTTTTATGTCATTGTGTTGTGAGCTTATGTTTGCTTTTTTTATGTCAAGTCAAGTCAAGTCTGCTTTATTGTCAATTCTTCCACATGTACAGCACATACACACAGAGAATTTGAATTGCGTTACTCTCAGACCCTTGGTGCATACAGATAACATAAATACAGATTAAATACAAAATACAACTATACAAATATACAAATAAGGTAAAATGTAAAAATATATATATAAAGCACAAGGCATATGGCAGATAGAGTGCAAACCAGTAAAGTAAACAACAGTGCATATTCAAAAGCATAAATCTAGGCTACCCGCTGCCGTTTTCAAATCACAATGCAAAACTGTGACATTTCATTCACTGACGCTCTTCAATCAGCAGGGCTAAACCCGGAAGCGCGTATACTTACTTACCGGCAAGCTGCCAAAATAAAAGCCTGCTGATTTAAGGTTGAAAATGATGAAAATTGATATTAAAAAAGTAGTAGTAGTAAATATTAGCATTTTTATTTTTGTTTAATATAAAATAATTGTATTTGTATTTAATACTCCCTTTTTTATTTTAAAATATAATAATATTATCACGTTATTATTTTGTTTATTTAATTTAAAAAACTAACTAAAAGTGCAATAATATCACTATTATTCATTGATTTTTTTTATAGTGTAAGGAATTTTAACTCAGTTGTAAGGGAATTCATTATTATTATTGATTCAGGTTTTGATAGGACTCGGATTTGAAGAGCCTAATTCAACCTGATTTGAATTGATTCTAAATTTGATAGTTTACACTCTATCAGCTACTCTGCCAGCGAGAAGTTGATGTCAGTGTATATTACCAGTTTAGATATGTAAATTTTGTATTCTCCCTGGCCACGGGTGAAATACAATTATGATAATTTGTCAGCTCTTAAGAGAGGTAATTATTATGAGTAAGCTACGAGCTAGGTAGCAAGCAAAGGATCTTTTGGCAATAGATTTGACCTTGAAATTATATGACACCAGACAATTGATTATTTATAAATGAAACATGAAATTTATTGGCTATTCTAGATTAAACCCCGTTACTGATTGGTCGGTGACGTCGAAATGACGTCCTTTGGGAAACCCCTCGTCACTGAAGTGTTTGAGTTTGAGATGTGGTAGTCGCTTTTGATGGTAAACGCGTGAGCACACGTGGGGTGCTCTAACACAGCGACAGGCGAGAGCAGGAGAAGCAGCAAGCGAACTAATCTGTCCTGCATTGGGTTTTTGCTCTGTGGCATAAGTCTGTCCCCTGATGCTGCCTTCCAATCGGCTTCTTGCACGGCGGAGCGTGCATACATTAACAAGAGGCTTTAATTCATCACATGAGGACACCATCTATAAAAGTTGTGTTAATACTCCTATAAAGTCTCTTAAAAGCAAGTATTGTACATACTATTACAGTTTACTTCATTTCAGCATTCTGCATTTGTGGTTTCCATTCGTTCAAGATTAAACTTCACACATTACACACATGTTAATATCCTCACTTTCTAAAAAGGGGTAATTAAACACTGGTTAAAGTTGCACCGATTACATGAAACACGTCAAGCATATATATACAACATACAACATACTATTTGTGATTCTATGCTCTGATAATTGGTCGTGGATGAATGGCACAACAATTGGCCTCAGGATCTCGTCACGGTATATATGTGCATTCAAAATGCCATCAATAAAATGTCCCTGTGTTCATTGTCCATAACATACGCCTGCCCATACCATAACCCCACCGCCACCATGGGCCACTCGATCCACAACGTTGACATCAGCAAACCGCTCACCCACACGACGCCATACACGCTGTCTGCCATCTGCCCTGTACAGTGAAAACCGGGATTTATCCGTGAAGAGAACACCTCTCCAAAGTGCCAGACGCCATCGAATGTGAGACCATCGAAACATTTGCCCACTCAAGTAGGTTACTACGACAAAGTGCAGTCAGGTCGAGACCCCGATGAAGATGACGAGCATGCAGATGAGCTTCCCTGAGACGGTTTCTGACAGTTTGTGCAGAAATTCTTTGGTTATGCAAACCGATTGTTGCAGCAGCTGTCCGGGTGGCTGGTCTCAAACGATCTTGGAGGTGAAGATGCTGGATGTGGAGGTCCTGGACTGGTGTGGTTACACGTGGTCTGCGGTTGTGAGGCTGGTTGTATGTACTGCCAAATTATCTGAAACGCCTTTGGAGACAGCTTATGGTAGAGAAATGAACATTCAATTCACGGGCAACAGCTCTGGTGGACATTCCTGCAGTCAGCATGCCAATTGCACGCTCCCTCAAAGCTTGCGACATCTGTGGCATTGTGCTGTGTGATAAAACACATATTTTAGAGTGGCCTTTTATTGTGGCCAGCCTAAGGCACAACTGTGCAATAATCATGCTGTCTAATCAGCATCTTGATATGCCGATCTCTGCGCGCACATTTAGACACCTGTCAGCATTCAAGTACAGAAATGTGCTCTGTTTCGTAACATTTGAATGTTCATATAAACACAGTTATGTAAAAATACAAATTTTGCCATGCTGCATGCGTTCGATGTAGACACAGTGTCAGTTAGATTGACACCTTGCCAGTTAGATTGACCCCTCCCCCCTCTTAAGGAACACCTTCCAGATGCTCCTCAACAGGTCATAGCAGTCCAGGGCCAGATTCATGTGGCAGACCGTGGAGCAGTGGAGGACCTGCACCATGGAGCAGTGACCGACTGTGGAACAATGGAGCAGGAGACCACCAAGTTAGAGCCAACGGAGCACGAAGCTAGGGCTGAGCCGGCAGAGCATGAAGCCACCAGGGTAGAGCAGATGACCACCACAGCAGATCAGACAGGGGCAGAGATCGCCACAGCAGTGCAGATGACCACCACAGCAGATCAGGTATCCACCAACTTAACACTATTGAGGCATGAGACCACCAAGGTGGATCAGGCAGGACTGAAACAGAGAGCACAGATAACAACGTCCTCTGCGGCCGCAACAGGTCAGACTATGAGTTCATTGTGATGAGATGGGTGGGGCCGAGAGCCGTGGGAACGGAGCGAGGTCAGGGGAGTAAATGCTAATGCGCGACACCGGAGGAGCTCCGGAAGGATAAAAGGAGGAGTGATGACAGTGTTGGACGAGAGGACCAGGCCTGGATTTTATTTTGTGTTTTGGTTCTGTTTGTGCGTGACAGTCGTCCGCGAGGGACTGTCGCGCTGTTTTATGTTTATTTTATCATTAAAGTTTTGTTTGAAAATTTGCCGGTTCCTGCCTCCTTCTTCCCGACCTACAAACGTCGTTACATTCATGAATGGCCTCCAAGGCCGTGACAGGACAGGCAAAGAGTTCAGAAGCGTTGCCGCCTCGGGAGTTTCTGCAGCGGACACCGCCACCTCTGGAGCGGATTCATGGACAGGAGAGGCGTCTGGAATGCAGTGTGAAGCCCACACACTCCAGCAGCATCCAAGGCAATGAAAAAGAGTAATCCAGAAACAGGCAACCCTGCAAACATGTCCTTGCGGGGCCCATGCTGGCTTTTTGCAGGCACAGTGGGCTAGGGCCAGCCCACACAAAACCTAAAGAGGCCCAGTGCGGGCTTGCCCAGGCGAGGCCCATAGCTTTGGGCTCACCGTAAGCTCTCTGTGAGCAGCCCACACTATGGGATTGCCCACATTAATCCAATGATGGCCCAGTGTGGGCCAGACATGAGCCTGTTAATAAGAATTTTGTCATTTCAAGCCCAGTCTAAAGGAGTTGTTTTTTTTCTATTTAAAAGTGTACATTGCTGGTGTTTTTTGCAGAGATGGTACATGTATGCATGGTCTATGTTTGGATTGATGCTAAGAGTTTAAGACGGTGTATTTGTATGCATTTTAGAAGGACTCTTTATTGGTGAGGTTACCACATCAAGGTCCAGTTTGAATATGGATATAAAGTTCTTTTCGACGTGAGATCAGAGTCTAGACTATTTTTGACTGTTACTGGTTAGGAAGAGTCTGGTGTTTGAGAGCTGTGGCGTGTTTTCATTACAAGAGGTTGGATTATTTATTTGCTTTCAGCCAACTTCAGCTACAGACAGTGTTTGGACATTGATGTACTACAGATAATACTTTCGCACACATCAACTTTCACATGATGAAATCCTACAATCTTACATTGCCTTGTTTACTATCTTTTTTTGTGTACTTTTGTGTATTTACATTTTTGGCTATATGTAACTGTATTAACCTGAATTTAATGTTTTCTATTTTGCATTTAATAAATCCATTGATTTGAATTCCCTTTGACTACTGTACATTTTTGACAATATAGACATTAGTTCCCTATCTGTCGGTCACTACGAGTTATGTCGTGACAACGTTATGGGGGGGTTCGCCTGGGAGCCCCAGTCATCTCTGACTTTAAGAGAAAACGCCAATGAAATTTGGCTAGTGGATTTTGCATACCTGAGCCACTCCCCCATGCATACGGGTATAAATAGGCGATAGGTGGTGTTGATCTCCACAAAGCCATTCATCATCTGTCTGGAAGCTGTTCTGGTTGGTGTCACGGGGCGAACAGCGGTGTCCCTGTCTGCAGCGATTCCCCTGGGCACTTCAACTAAAAGAGCAGATTTCTGAAAAGAGCAGATCATGGTTACTTCCCATCTTTTTAAAGACGCCGTTCCGGCCGTGTCCTCTTGGTTGCGGTCGTTTCCTATCCTCCGTCAACAGCCACGATTGTTATCTTCAGTGTCTGGGCATTCAGAACGCTGAAGCTGCGTTCGTGGATGGTTCAATCTGCAATCACCTGCAATCACTGCCCTCGGAGGAGGCAGATCTAACCCTTGTGTTGCTGTGTCCCATAAGAGCGCTGCACATATACGTGGACCGCACCCAAAGCTTTAGAAGCTCTGAGCAGCTCTTTGTCTGCTTCGGAGGTCAGCAGAAAGGGAAGACTGTCTCCAAGCAGAGGTTTGCCCAATGTATAGTGGATGCCATCCCCTTGGCGTACTAATCTCAAGGCGAGCCGTGCCCCCTGGGGGTGAGGGCTCACTCCACATGGAGTGTTGCCTCCTCCTATGCGCTGGCGCACGGCGCCTCTCTGGCAGACATCTGTAGAGCTGCGGGCTGGGCGACACCGAACACCTTCACAAGATTTTACAGTCTCCGCGTTGAGCCCGTGTGTTGGGTAACAGGTAATGGGCGGGAAGAGCTGGCCAGTGTCACGCTTGCTGCGCCTTTCCCCCTCACCCGGGGATGCGAGCGCCTTTTTCCTCCTCCAGTAAGTTCATCGCACGGCGAACCCTAGTGGGGTATCCTCCAGCACCCTCGGCAGTCAGCAGTCTGACGCCAGGCCCAGTATCGGTGTTAGCTTGCCCGGGTCTCCGGTCAGCCCCTGTACTGGGCTAGATGACCATATGGCTTGGTTCTCTGTGGACAATCCCATATGTGTATTCTTTCATGGTAAGGTTTACCTATCGGGAAACCTGTGTCTTCCCTTTGACAGGGTGTTCTGTCAGTCTCTGCTGGCAGTTGCTCCATCCCTACTCTCAGATAGGACCTGCCCCAGAGACCCATTCCATATGTAGTACTGCCCCAGCCCTAGGTCAATCCATATAAGAATCTCCACATGTTACATCCCTACGGGTAGGGTGTGGCCTCCGTAGCACCCTTCTTCGGAAGGCTCACTTCCCCATCGTTCTGCCTAAGCTGTAACAACAAATCGGAAAGACTTGAAGCAAATCTTTCATTGAAGGTTGAAATCCCTTCTAAGAAATTTCTGTGGGGAAAGGAACAGCGGCTTGGCTTTCTCCAGCAGCGATGTAATCACCTGTGGTCTCCGCGGGTACCAAGGTCAGTGAATTTGCGCTGGGGAGGTTACGACCTTTGCGTAGCATTTGCTACGCCTTAGGGTTGTGACGGGGTTCAGATTGTGGCGCTTTCCAGGGCCCCATAATGTCATCATGACATAACTCGTAGTGACCGACAGATAGGGAACGTCTCGGTTACGTACGTAACCCTCGTTCTCTGATGGAGGGAACGGAGATGTTATGTCCCCTTGCCACACCCTCGAACCATCGCTGGCGGCCAGGGACAAGTTCTCTGCTCCTCAGCGTAAAACCTGAAGAGTGGATGCACCTGTTGCCTATTTATACCCATATGCACGGGGAGTGGCTCAGGTATGCAAAATCCACTAGCCACATTTCATTGGTGTTTTCTCTTAAAGTCAGAGGTGATTGGGGCTCTCAGGCAAACCCCCCCATAATGTCATCATGACATAACGTCTCTGTTCCCTCCATCAGGGAACGAGGGTTACATACGTAACCGAGACGTTATGTGGTGACTGCATCCATTTCAGATGTATAATAACTGTTTTTTGTTTTACCAAAGACTTACGTTATAGTAGCTGAAAAGTATTTAAAGTGAAACATGTTGGTTAGTTATAGATCAGGGATCCATCCTGTTCCTGGAGGTCTACTTTTCTACAGAGTTCAGTTCCAACCCTGATTAAACAAACCTGTCTGTAATTATCAAGTGCTCCTTCAGATCCTAATTGGTTGATTCAGGTGTGTTTGATCAAGACCAGGGTTGGGCACCCCTGTTGTAGATTAATAGTGTGGGCTATGTGAGGGCTGCCCGTGCAGGGCCAGCACTAATGGGCCAATGTTTTGCCAATGAGCAAAATCCCCATGCACTGGGGGCCCTTAGGCTAGCCCTAAGTGGGCTTCTAAGGGCCAGTGTAGGCTTGTTTGCAGGGGTGTTATTCGGTACATTTCACTGTGGATTATTTGGTAATTCAATCATAATTTCAGCAAAGGCTTTGCAAACAGACTTTCACCATAAATATATGGACCTGACAGCAACACCACAAACATGTAATTAACAGTGTTCATTCTAGTTTCTAATATAATTATTCAAGCTCAGACAGATTTTTCTAGTCTCAAAATCATTTATTGCTGTTTATGCATCAGTAAATCAAATCAGTGATTAAATGATCAACATCATATTATCTTGGTATCATGAAAATAATCTGTTTAAATTGATTAAATTATATACAGAATGAAATTAAAGAAAGCTCTCTTTATAATGGCTGAAGCTATTAATCAAACAGCATGAGTTTATCTGGACACTTGCCAAAACCCCAATTATAATGAATGATGCTGTTACACTGCACAATGAAGCTCTTACTGTATTGTCATGTGAGAAACTTCTATAAACAAAGGAGGTCGAAAAAGAAAATTTACTCAATTTGTAAGTCTATTTCATATATGAGCTTGTCAATTGTGAATCACATAATTACACAACAACCTTCATTCTCAGTTGTATTTTTTTTCTTCGCAGACTGCTTTAATGAACCAGTTTCTTCCAATTCTGTTTGAGTGGCCTCTTTATGCTTCTCTTTGTGTGGATGACGCAGTTTCTTCTGAATCATCTGAATTTTCTGAAGCTTCTGAATGTATTTCTCTGGTCTCTCAAACATATCATGTTTAAAGTGTGTCCCTCCATTTTCTGCCACCATCTTCTCTATTTTACTGATCAGATCTTTGAACTGTGGGAAATGGTCAGACTTGTTGTCCAAACAGAAGAATCTGTTTCCACATTGGCGTATGAGTTTTATAGTATTTTGATCACAGTCCTGTAAAAACTTTTCACTAGTTTGCTTTTTTTTCTCCAGCTGGTCTTTGTGAGTAAAGATGATCATGGTGTATTTTAGTATCTCTTCTCCAAATACATTTATGAGTATCTTTATTGTATTTTTCTCCTCATTAGTGAATCGACCCACTTTAATCACAATAAGGAAAGCATGTGGTCCAGGAAAGGCATATTTTATGCATTTCCTTACTTCAATAATAACCTCCTCCTCAGTGAGTTCAGTATCATAAAGTCCAGGAGTGTCAATCACTGAGATTTCTTTACCATCCCTCACTATAGTTTCTGACTTGCACTGTCTCGTCTGAGAGCTTGAACCGGCTGAAGATTTGAACTCATTTCTCCCGATTAATGTGTTTCCAGTGGCACTTTTCCCACATCCAGTTTTTCCCAGCAGAACCAGCCTGATCTGCTCTTTCCTCTCAGGAATCACATCAATCTTAGCTGGATCTTCAGCTGAAACTACAACAGAAGGATCAAATCACATCACTGTTTGTGTAATTAAATATCAATATTCTCATTTACATTCAAGAAAATGTATAATTAGAAACAGTTACATTTACATTCAAGAACATTTGTAATTAGAAACAACAACAACAAAAATAATAATAATAATAATAAATATAGCTGCAAGCAGCGATTACCGGGGTTCAAGCACTTTAAGCATTTAAGCACATAAGGTTAAAGGTTTTTTGTTTAGGTTTTATGGGCTTTTGGGTATATTTGGACACACCCATTTTTAAATGACCCCATTATAGCTAACCAAAAGAACAAAATTAAATAAATTTTTGATAATTATTAATCTAGAGAGTTCAGATAATATTACTGCAGTGGTTTGATCGAGATTGAGCGAAAAACCTAGGACTAGTTTGCAAAAGTAGGTTTTTAAAAATATTTTTGAATATTTAATGACCAGTTTGATTGACAGCATTGGTCCAAGAGGCAAAGTTGTTCAAAATGAGTAGATCTATCATATATTCACAAAAACACTAGCTCTTCATATTATATGTACATGTTCTACAATTTGAGGTCATTTTCAATATAAATATTGTATTTTTGAGGCCTTTTCAACTGTTATAGCGCCACCTATGGTCCGATCTCCATGAAAGTTTGCATGCTTGTTAAGAGTCATCCAACACATGTTTTGTAGGGTTTTGGGTATATTTGACCACACCCCTTTTCTAAATTACCCCGTTAAAAGGTAACCAAAGGACAAAATTCAACATTTTTTTGATAATTATTGATCTAGAGAGTCCATAGAATATTGCTGCAGTGATTTGATCGAGATTGAGCAGGTTTTGAGTAGGTTTTGAACATATTTGTGAGTAATTAATGAACGATTTGACTGACAGCAATGGTTTTTGAGGCAAAGTTGTGCATTATGAGGAGGTTTATCGAATTATATGCATATTGTGTGGATTTGTGAAACACCACGCAATTACAGAGCCAAAAAACTCGTTAGCGCCAACTAGAGGCCGTTTTCTTTAAAAATTCTTACAGACCTTTAGGGCCATGAGTCGAACATGCCCACCGAGTTTTGTTCCGATCGACCTCCGTTAACCTTGTCCAATAGGTGCCTAAACTTCTTTGGCCAATGGCGGCCATGTTTTTTGAGATAAGCGAATGTCCTCATAGACACTTGTGCCCCTTTGGACGAAGACACTGCATACCAATTTTCAAGTCGATCGGACCAACGGTTGCATAGTTATAGTGCTTTTATGCAGGTGGCAGAACTGCGATAGTTTTTTTATTTGACCAAAGATTGAGCTTGCACACATGTGTGCCAAGTTTAGTGAAGATGTCTCAGTCCGTTCAGGAGTTATAGCCATTTTAGTAAAAATGGCCCCGTCCCTAACAGACGTTTTTGTGTCCCTAAGCGACGGTGAGTTGAAATTTAACTTTTTTTGATAATTTTTGATAAATACTGTCCAAAGAACATTTCTGCACTGGTTTGGTTCCGATCGGGTGAAAAACCTAGGACTAGTTCGCAAAAGTAGGTTTCTGACAAAATTCAAAATGGCTGAAAATTTTTATAGACAGAAAT